CTACATCTATATATTTTCCTAAATTTACAAGTATAGCTTTATTATCTGATTGTAGTAAATCTACTAATTTATACATAGAAGGTCTAATATAGTAATAACGCTTGATAAATCTTCTTCGAATATCTTGATAACATGGACAAACTAAAATAAAATGATATTCATCTTTAATTTCTTGTAAGTTACATAACTGACATAATCGTTCATTTCTTTGTATTCTATTACGTCCGTATCTTCCGGTTTCAATCCTTAAGTTATGAGCAGAAATTCTAATTCTACAAATATTCATACGTATACCTTTGCAATAAATATTTCTTAAATAAGGTTCAAAACAAAAGTCTTTTTTGATATAACTATACAAAGTGTTTAGTACGATATTGTTTTCTATGTCTGAATGCCATTTTTGCCTAAAACAATCAATAACTCTTTGCTTAAATTCAGATAAAAAGAAACTGCTTTTGATATTTAACGGGTTGTCCCACACATAAGAAAAGCCAAATTCATTTAATATGGATTTTACATTTTGAGCCCAATTATTTACACCAGTCAAACTATTGCTTACTGTATATCTATAAATTTCTTTCAGTATAATATTATCCGTATTTACAAGCTTAAGCCAAAATTTAATGATTTGTACGTATCTGTTGATATGTAAGGGGTATCTACCTAATTCGCCATACATTATTACTAGCACATTGTTTTACTCCTAATATTGATTTGCAAAACTTAAGGTGTACCCTTTCTATATCTTTAGATTTAGTAAAACCCCAAATCGGGCATGCATAATTAAGTATTGAGCCAACAAAGGCATCGAATAATTGTAGTGAAACAGGAGTATTTGAATGATATTTGTTTATCTTATTCAATAAAATGCTCATAGCTTTTAAACCTTTCCCTACTAAGCACTGTGTATTTAAAACAAAAGAGCCTGTATAATTAAAAACAACCCCTAGATAATTAAAATCGTTTACAACTTCAATATGTCTCCCATTATAATACCATTTTTATAATATCTCGTACATACCGTTGGCAGAATAGAAGTATACAATGTATATTGTTTACAGCTCACCTTTGTATATTGTATTGTTTACAGGCCATTATTGGTCATATATTGTTTCATGCATATTGGAAAGATCAGAAGGGGTGGTTAATCTAGTTTAATTGTTTTGAGTTATTGAATATAAGTTACATGATTCGGCTTTGTCAGCCATGATTGATTTTAACTAAGTTCTTCCAAAATTAAAGTAGACCAATTTAAATTTGATATAAAGCCAAACCTCAGAAAGTAAAACAATTTATAGACAATGCACATAAAACATAAAATTATAACAAAAAGAATATTGTAGCAGTGTTAATATTTCATCATTTAATCATTTTATAAAATATTTATATATTTTGTTCACACTGTGGCTTTAATGTTCACGGGTCATCCTTGGCCTTTTATTTTCTCCTACAGACGAAGACAGTTTGCTAGATAAACAAGACATTGCCAGAGGCGAGGCCGAGGATAAATTCTTGTTCTTCCTAGCAAAATGTCCTCTTCACGTTTGTGAGAAGGCACTTTTGAAGAAAATACGAGTAACAATATTTGACATTTACGACGATGAAGTTTAAACTTCAAGAAAAATTAATAAAAACGTTTAATAATAAAATGATCTAAGAAATAAAAAGAGCATCGAATCACGAGGCTATCTGATTTGTAGGAGGGGGCGTAGTCCCGGAGTTTAGATCAGATTGCCGGGTGTTTTGATGTTCTTTCTCTTTTGTATCATAGTCAAAAATAAAAACACGTTCCATGATGTCACAATATGAAACCCCAGAAAAAAAGTTACAATGAACGAGCTTTCCCTTTCTTTGTCGTAATATGTAAACCCCAGACAAAATGACCAAGTCAATGGGCATGCTCTTGAGTGCGGGTAACTAATACATGCACTCCAGTTAACGCACTGCACATGTACATGTATACGATGTAACTCTAGACATATTTACAACAGAAAGGTCCCAACACTAAATACAATTAAAAATAATGTATGTTCTTGTTGAAAATATAGAACTATATATAAAATATAAAATATTCACTTGGCCTATAGGACAACATACTTTGTGTGCACTTATCATAATATTTTAAACAGACAGACACTTTCATTCATTAACATACAATGTTAAAGTGACTGCTTTCAATAGAGATACATAGAACTTTACTAAATTCGATAATGTTGACTATCAACATTGAAACAGACACTAGTTGGTATCATAGTTTGGGGACCTTTATGTTGAAAATGTGTCAGAGGTAAATCGACTTTTACTGCCGGATGGTCTCTTGTAAAAAAGTAGCGTCTGAAAATTCCCATTACACGTCGCGATATTTTAGAAGACCGTTGTTGGGGAACAAGAAGTTTCGGCCAATAACTTTTCCCCTCAGCTCTTTTGTAGAATTTCTACAACACTTGCAAAACAATGTGGCTGATTTCTTTCTGTTCCTCGACTTTTTATCTGGATGACTAGAGTCAAACCATGGACGCTACCGGCCACTGGAGTCAAAATATTACTTGCTGTTTCCGACAAATGTAATAATTAATCGAGGTTAATACATTCCCCAGCGGGTTAGAAATGGCCGCAAATGGCCACCATAGTTTGCAGTGCGTAAATTACTTTCTTTGCTACCTTCACAATATTTTTCTTTTAAATAGTATAAATTTCCAAACTTTACATATAAAAACAATTATGAGAGTCTAGACGTTATTGTTTGTTAAGAAAGATAACAACTTTGTTATATTTAACGCACAGTTTTTATGTACAGTGTTTACTTTTTATTGATTCTATGGTTTAAAATGTCATTATAAGTTTGCAAAGATTTGTAGTTGTTTTCGTCAAATTTTTCAAACTTAATTTATTATTGATAATTTTTTTTAATGACGTGAATGAATAAATCTAAACAGCGTCTTAACTTTGCTAGACTGTCTTTAATCTTTATTGAAATATGTAATAAAGGGACGTTTGAATAATTGTTTTAAAGCCTCAGAAACAATTTGTTTTACTTCTTTTCAAAGGCGAACATAATTTAAATTATGCTTAAATAATAGTTTTAGAGGATGTCAAATCATTGTTACCTGAAGTAAATAGGATAAAAGTGAAAAGATTAGTTATAAAAGAAGCAATTGTAAACAAAATAGTATTTTGACTGCCATACAAAATACTAATTACCTATAATTGTACATATTGTCAAATAGCAACAGATGAAGAACAGAGGATGTTGCAAATGATTAACTTTTAATTTTGTAAAGATACATCAAACTTAAACAAGATATGTTTGTGAAACATGTATGCCCCCTATTGTCAGCCAATTAGTTATGTGGTCATGTTGTTATGACTGACTTGACCTAGTGACCAAAAATTCAATAGCGGTTTTTACTGGTCATGAATAGTCTCTATGTATTTGTGACTTTAAAAGTTGTGTGCAGCAATTTTATGAAAAAAGTTATCATCAAATAATATATGAATAAATTTAAAGAATCATGTTGGCCTCCTTTATGGCAGCCAATTCGTTATAATTATTACATAAGACCTTGAAATGTATATACCAAAAGCATCTTTAGTTTAATAAAAAACATCAACCAAGGAAGATGAGTTATTGGTCGGAAACCGTTTATACCTACCAGGTCAATATGACTTTGACCTTTGACCACTTAACCCCAAAATCAATAGGTGTCATCTACTAGTCATGAACAAACATCATACCAAGTTTGAAATTCCTAAGCCTAAGCGTTCTTTAGTTATTGATCGGAAACCGTCTTTACCTAAAAGGTCAATGTGACCTTGAACTTTGACCCCTGGACACCAAAATCATTAGAGTTCATCTACTAGAGATGAACAATCATCATACCAAGTTTGAAGTTCCTATGCTGAATCGTTCTTTAGGCATTGACCTTAGCTTTTGACCCTTTAATCCCAATGTCAATAAGGGTCATCTACTGATCACGTACAATCATCATCCTAAGTTTGAAGCTCCTAGGTCTGAGCCTTCTTCATTTATTGATTGGAAACCGTTTTTACCTACCGAGGTCAATGTGACTTTGCGTTTGACCCCTTGACCCAATATTAATAGGGGTAAACTGCTGGTCACGTACAATCATCATGCCAAATTTGAAGTTTGAAGTTCTAGGCCTAAGCGTGCTTTGGTTATTGATCGTGCTATAGTTATTGATCGGAGACCATTTGGTCTACGGACCGACGAACCGACCGACAGACATATATTAGCCCAGCAAATTGTGCGCTTTATGGCTTTTTATTATATAGACGATGGTCGCCCTTTGAAAAATCAGATCATAAAATCGGTCGGTCTTGCAGTCGAAATATTGAGACTACAAAGCAATAATCTTTGAAGGGGGCATAAAAAGATTTTGAGGCATAAAAATAAAAGCATTTATGAGACATAATGGGCCTTTAAGATTAATTTATTTTATGTTTTCTAATGAAATGTTCAGAAAATCAATTTCATTTTTAATTTCTGATTACATTAATGATTTTAAGTCTGCACGAAGGCAGACCTATCTTTGCACGTGTTTTACATGATCCGGTCTATCTGACAGGACTAGACCTGTACACGATTAAAAGAGAGACCTCGTAACGGATCTTCGTTTGTTTAATCAGCTCTAACCGAAAAATAAAGACCTGTCAATAAATGAGGTGTGTAAATAAATGAAAACTAAAGATATCCCGATAGAGAATAACCGATCGAGTCTTATTTCCGAAGCTAAAAAACAATAAGATCATTTCAATTACTTTGTCAGTTTTATGTTTTTAAAGGCACATATGAACTTCGCGTGGCAATGACTCACACTATACCCCTGTTCCCCTCTACAACCCAAAATCCTTAAACATCATCCAAACATCATAAGTATTGACAAAATAAATATTATGAAGAAAACAAATATGACTCTAAACGTACGACAGTAGATTTTTCTGTTATCTTTAAAATAGAAAGGTGAGAAAAAAGCACGTACCTGTTTTTACAATTACTGTTGTCCTACTTTAGAAATATCCAAAAGGAATCACATATAAACAGTCTTGAAAATTATGTTTTCTATGCAAAAATGTACATTATAAACCATTATCATGATATACACAATTTATAACACATCTTGTACATATGAACAAGTCTATATAACTGACGTTGTATTGTTATTTTAAAACTTTTAAAAGCGGGGTTAAAATATCACACGCAACTGATCACGTGGCTACTTTGTTACTAAGGTCATTGTACCTTATATATCATGATTGGTCGTTGATACTATCAAAACAATAAATATACACTGCTTGATTGGCTGGTTTAGAAGATCAATATTGAATCATTCCCAATACTTCTATGATACCGATTTATGTTTATGTATAGTACCCTGGTATGTTAACATCTTATGAAACTTTCTCAGTCGTAAAGCACAGAGTATCTATTACAAAACAAATACCATACACCAGGCAATACCAGAGACCACAATGACACGGATATGAAACCGAAAATAAAATATTTCTCTCTTGTCATTTTTAAGCAATGTACAGGAAACAAAAATAGCCCCGACAATCAATCATTTCTTAAAAACACTTGTTGAAAGTAACTGACATGCCAGAAAAAATAAACTGCACCTCTTTTGTCAATTAAACTATTTCTAAATTTATCATTAAAAGTAAATGAAGATGATCTATAAAATAAACAAACATTCATTGCAATTATGGATATAATTATCAGGATTACATGTTAATCTGTTTTTTTTTTTTGTTGTTGTTGTTTATAAAAACATCGGCCCTTAATAAGTCATTTCATGAGTTAATTTGGAATGTTGCCGCATCGGTATATTGGAACACTCACTTTGTTGTGTAATCGTTTGTGGAGCTGCGTTAAATAATAAATTGATAAATTGTGTTGACATTGATTATTGAGATTCAGAATATATATTTGATTTACTATTATAATTACGCTTATGTTAATATATATTAATCACTTCTCCCAAAAGTCGTTGTCTTTTTATACGTTAGTTTACAGACATTCACTTGAAAAGTTAATAAACATTTACTTATCGAAAACGAATCAATAAACATAAGAAAGTTAATCTTAAAGTAAATTTATATAAGATAATTTTTTCCAATTCCACTTAAATACATTGACCTAAACATAGCATCATCAAACGTTAAAGTGACAGGCATATCGACAATTACCTTCTTTTATTTAAGTAATATATGAATGGTCAACCACTTATAAATTTGTAAATATTTACTTACAAAATCACGATCGTACCATCGCGTTTTCATCATCGTACTATCGTGTTTTCACCATCGTACCATCGCATTTTTACCAACGTACCATCGTGCATTGTGGGTACCGACTAAATAAAAAATCACAATTGTCCAAACGGAACACCATATGCGGAAACTTTGGTGTTGTTTTTTTTTGGACAGATTACCATTACTAGTATTCCTGGTGTAAATTATAATATTTGCTGTTTGTATTACCGACTATACACTGTAGATTTTATACGTTAAGTTTAATACTTCTCTATTCATGTATTAAGGACACTGTCTACGGTTATTACCTAACATGCCCACATGTTTTATACTATCTTATTGAAATTAAATTAAAACATGTTTATAAAGAACTAAAACAGTCATATAGTGTAATTCAGGCTCTATACTTTCCGTAACAGATTTAAAAACTTCAAACTTATAAATACATGTATTGATTTTTGTCAAATATAAAGGGATGTATGTAGTAAAACTACGACAAAATAAGTTTGCTGTTTATCTCCCTTATAGTTCAGAGGCGCCCTAAGAAAAGTGTTTATTTTTTGCGCATGACACAAATCAGCCGCCATAGTTGTGTCAAGTTGATTCTAGACTGCAAATATTTTAGAAGAAAATAAAAAAAGTCAAATTTTATCGTGTTCCAATGTTTTTAAAAAAGAAAGGCCACGAGCAACACGAAAAAAATGAGACAAGCAGACGGTTATTTTGCCTGCATTACCGAGGAAGCTTCGAGTTTGTCTAGCTGCTAGTAACACCAGAGAAAAACGTCAGAATGTACTGACATTTTTTGTTCGTCATATTGCCAAAAATGTTTAAAGTTGGCAGACAGTTTAGACCATGGTCTGCGAGTCGTGCAAGAATATGTGGCTTATCCGTTTGCGGAATATTCCGACGACGAAAAGAATTTCTACATGGTACAAGTTTCAGTAAATAAGTTTTTCAAGGTACCCTGTCACAAAGGCGTCGCATGCTGCAGAAAGCCGTCCTCAGAATCAGCAGTCAACAAACAGGAAACCAGTTTCATGCTTAAAGTGCGGGCAATGTGTCGCGTGGACGTGCCAGTGGATGGGTATGCCATTACACAGATAGTTTATAAATTATGAATCACTTTTGATAAATAATGTTTTGGAGTCTTGTCACGGATATACGTGAGTTCTCTCTCGGGAGGATAGGGCTTTCAAAGAGGAACTTGTAAATATTTTGTTGGCACACAATAAAATAGAAATATGGAGTCAATGAAAAAAATAACAGCTGTCGCTAAAAGTTCTCATTTCTTGTGTTATTGATAATTCCAAGCGAAATACATACACATGTCATAGTAATTCATGTTTACAATGTTTTATAACATCAAATATACCTGTAAATATATTGTTGGCACACAATAAAAAAGAAATACGGAGTCAATGAAAAAAAAAATAAAAGTTCTCATTTCTTGTGCGCATGCGTAAAGGTTGGTGTGACCGAATTCAAAAATGAAAAGAATGAGGCCCGTCAACGTGTTACAGGTCAAATGAAGTTATTAGTATGAAGTTGAATAACGATATGAATGATTGAAAAAGAGACGATAGGGGAATGATATAGAGTATGGGTATGAATTACAGAGTATTCTAGCAAAGACAAAATGACCCTGTGTCTGATAATGTTGATATTGAGAAATTGAAATCAATCTATAAATACCCTTAAAATTTTTATCATTCTCACATAAGTATGAGAAGCAAATGATTTAATTAAAGTAGTGTCTCTGGTCGGAAGATCTCAGGCATAAACTAAAGCACTGACAAGTGGAGGAGCCAGGGGAAACATTTATAATGATAAAAGTGTTGATTTGGAAGGATACAAGTTTCCTTCTAAAACGTTACAAATGGTCTGTTTAGCTGAAAAAAAAATAACAGGTCTACCAGAATAATGTTTTGTATTTGTTTCGCTTGAGATTCGTACCCTTCTCATTAATGGTTGCATCGAAGAGGTTTCGGAGGCGCCATATGGAGTTAACCCGTTAAATGTTGCATATACTTATGTTAGAATAGTAACCCGCCTTTAGTCTTAAACTGCCGACATATAAAAGTACACGTTAAATGTTGCATATACTTATGTTAGAATAGTAACCCGCCTTTAGTCTTAAACTGCCGACATATAAAAGTACAAATTTTGCTATGAATGCCATGACTTAATTTGACACGTCGTCGCTTGAAAAACGTTTTGTTCTAAGTGCCAATTTGTTGTTTTTGAGAAAAAAGCATGTAAAGATTTAGTAATGCATAACTTTTTTATTTATTGTCGGATTTTGAAAATTTAAAAACTACTAAACGTGGTGTCAGGAGAACAACTCAATATCGTTAAAGATATGTGGATTTTAATATTTCCTTGCTTAAAAACCTAAAAAAACATTTGGAGATAGAACAGTCCTTGTAACTTTTTTTCAAAAATTGTTAAAATCAGAGTGTTCAATGTGACTTAGAACATTATGTCTTTTAAGTTGAATTGATTTATATCATATAAAACAGTATGTTTTATCTTTAAAAGGCTGCCAAAAATGCTCTCGGCTAATTATCCCTTGATTAGTTGACTTTGACACTACACTATTTCTTAGACCATATGTATCTAACTACATGAACTATGACATTCGAAATCTTATTAAAATCCTTAAATCAATTACATTATTAAATGACATTTAAACAAATAATTTAAATAAATAAATTTAAAATAACCACATAAATTTTGTATACATTTTATCTATTTTTATAACTTTGGCCACATTCAAAGTGATTCAATATCTGGAAAAAGAAAGTTATAGCCGCACACGGGGAAAAAAAACTTTAAAATTTTCTAGAATGCTGGGAAAATCTCTCAAGACTTTTTTTTATGAAAATTCAAAAGATGGTTAAATTCAAATTCCTTCCAAAAGTATGAAATAGTAGTAATTATTTTGTTATGCGCTTTACACGTTCTGTGTGTTGGTAAAAAGTTCTTATAATTTAAGGTATGTAAAAAATGTTTCTATAACTTAAATAGGCAATGAAAACATATCTGCTAGAAAATACCTTAAAGGTGGAGCAGGCATGACTTATATTTGAAAAATGTCATATTTAAAGATTGTTCGTGTACAAAAACATTACAAACATAATGCTATATAAATATTCATTTAAAATTCAGAGTCAAATTACAAAACAAACAAAATATACGTATAAGAATATTTTTCTTCCTTCTGTCTTTGGTATAAAATTTGTTTACTTTAAAGCAATTTATTAGTTATATAACATTGACGCATTCGAAAACATATATTATATGTAAACGTATAATTTCTATAAATTTTCTTAAAGGCCTTTTTTGCCCCAGAAATGTTTTTATCTTAATCTCTCAAAAGCCTGATATTTGAAGTCATTTTATAGTTTCCAAATATTCCACATTGGTCAGTAACCTAAACCATCTTATGCTTTTGTTTCATATTGGCAATGAGTACAGTCAATTTTTTAAACTCATATGTATCTGTTATAAAGGTAAATAGACAGAATGTACCTTACGTTAAAGAAACTTTAGAACATATAACAAATTTTCTTTTTTACGAATTTGTTTGATGAAATTGTATGATCACAGTTGTTTCTATCCGAAAATACACATCCGAAATTACTTTCAAATCATGATCAGTTTTGCTTGTTGTTTAATCACATGCAGTAAATTTACAGGACTTAATACTAAAATGTCAATGATTGGAGGGAATAAATACTTATATTTAGTATTAATATATTAAATAAACAACAAACCATCTAACTCAAAATGTTTCGTACAACATGGCGGGTGTCCTGCTATCACGTGATTTGATGCTATGTTTTGATACGATAATTTTGGATTTAGAACAGTATGTTGCATATATCCCACAGGTCACGTGACATTTATCGATGATATGATTAGTCCAGTAAGTTAAAACAGTCTATTTATCAAGACATAGTAAATTTGTGGAGATAGAACAGAATGGTTTCGTTGTAATTTATTTATGAAGCTCTGAAGCACTGATATAAAATGCCAAGGAGATA